ATATTCTACTATGCTGTTGGAGTTTACAGGCAAAGATAATGATGGGGGAAGGAAATAACATTTTTGCAGGCCCTGGAAATGTAAAATAAACTCACATGACCTCACATTAAATTCCCATGAAATCGACATTTTTTGGTAAATTTAATTTTAAAGGAAAAGGAAGGACAATGAGATTAAATAACTTGCCCAAGGATTCTGGGTGGGTGTGCTGTGGAGGTGGGACTTATATCAAAGTCTCCTTGAAATAATTATTGCCCGATATTTAATTAAACTCAGTGAAATTCCTCTCTTTGCTGCTGTTTAGGGTTGATTATATTCTATGCCAGTATTAAGCCATAAGCCTTTCATTTTGGCCTTTGTGGCACAGAGTTTTCTTTAAAGGACAGCTTTTTTGTTTGGTTGGTTTTGGTTTTTTTGAGACAGAATTTCACTCTGCTGCCCAGGCCAGAGAGTGCAGTGGCATGATCCCAGCTCACTGCAAACTCTGCCTCCCGAGCTCAAGCCTCCCGAATAGCTGTGATTATAGAGTGCATGCCACCACGCCTGGCTAATTTTTATTTTTTGTAGAGGTAGGGCTTTGCCAGGTTGGCCAGGTTGATCTTGAACTCCTGACCTCAAGTGATCTACCCACCTCGGCCTCCCAAAGTGCTGGGATTACAGGTGTGAGCCACCATACCCGGCTTTTAAAGGACAGTTTTAAAGGATGGCTCCAGAATTTGCTTTTTTCTGAGATGTCATAGGAGAGGTCAGTTTTAGTGTTTGGTTAACACATAAACACATAGAGCCGAAGTCAGTGTGTTCGGCATTGGTCTGAATTTTCTTGCTGTGCCACTCAGGTTCTAGTGAATGTCCTAATTGTGGAGAAATGCCAAGTCAGTCTCAGACTTTTGAGTAGGCTTTGATTTAGGTTTAAGTGACTTTCAGAGTGGATTCCCTGTTGCTGTAATTTTTTTAAACTGCTGTATTTTCATCTTAGAAGTTCCAACTTCTAACTTTCTGCACCAGATGATTTCTTTCAAAATCAGAAGCAACATAAATGAATGAAATCGACTGGGCATGGTGGCTTACGCCTGTAATCCCAGCACTTTGGGAGGCCGAGGTGGGTGGATCATCTGAGGTCAGGAGTTCAAGACCAGCCTGCCCAATATGGTGAAACCTTGTCTGTACTAAAAATACAAAAATTAGCCAGGCATGGTGGCAGGCACGTGTAATCCCAGCTACTTGTTGGGGAGGGGGGGCGCTGAGACAGGAGAATTGATTGAACCCGGAACACAGATTTTGCAGTGAGCCAGCACTGTCCTGCTGCACTCCAGCCTGGCTAACAGACTGAGACTCCATCTCAAAAAAAAAAAAAAAAAAAAAAAAGAATGAAGTCATTAAAGTGTGTGCTCATTGCTTTCTCTTGGTAAATAGCTTCTCTGGCAAATAGGAAGATGCAGCGTTGAGAGCTGAGAGGCAGAGGATACTCAAAAAACTGAATTTCTTCCTTATTCCCTCAACACCTGAGTTCTAAGCTACCTACCCCAGGTGGCATCACCCTTGTAACTCGGGTGTGGTAACATTCCTGGGCTGAGAGCATTGCCCCATTGCCGGCTTCTTAGTGCAGTTCCTTCTGCTCTCTCTGTGGTGACTGCCTTGGCCTTTGCTCGTAGCACAGCTCCATGAACTCAGCCAGCAGGAGTTCCTTATGGGTAAAAGGAGAAAGTGAGTGGCACAGTACCCCACGGGACTGTTGAGATTACATATTTTATGTAGTATATTTAGGAGCAGGATTGTGCAGATACCTCGGAAACAGTTCATACATGTTGTGGGCAAGGTCTTCACCCATGTGGTCTTGGGAAATAATGAGACAATCCTACTTTTCCAGGGTTCTGGTAGGTTCTCTGAGCCCTCTCTGATACCTCAGTATAACCAGCAGAGGTAAATCAGCAAAAAGCCAGGGGCGTTTGTTAACTTTGTTTGAAAAACAATCTGGACTGAGACAGAGAAACTTACTTACAACTTGATTATGTGTGTTCATTTTTGACCCAGAAACAAATCGCAGCTGGGCTTAAGACAAAGAACAGAATGTGGCCTTAACTGTGTGTCAGAAAGTCAGTTTTAGTAACTCAGATTTTAGGTTTGTAAACTAACATGACTTTAAAGCTCTGAGATTGCTGTATAGAATTTCATGCTGTGGGTGTCAGAAAGCAGCACCCCATGCTAGACTTATAGTACCCACTACGTTTGCACTTTATCTTAGCGTCTGTAATTTCTAAGTTGGCGTTTGGGTTTCTATTACTGGATTGAGAGAAGACCCTAAAGGCAGACCTGTCAGGTTTCCTGTTTCTTATTTAGTTCAACCTAAGGGACCCAAATATATCTTGAAATACCAGAGCTGAGATTGTATTTGGTATAGGCCATTTGTGCATCCTGACTGGTTAAGAATTCAATGGAAGACTTATAAATTACAATTTAAAATACTGATCCAGTTTATTTCTTTATATTTTAATATATATGTGATTGCATATAGGATGGAAGTATATTTCATTGTATTTTTGCCGTATATATTTGTTTCTACTTTTGAGGGAGAAATAATCAAAAGTTAAATCCAATAAAGACAGTCTGAGGCAGGTTATGACCAAATGCCACTCCCTTTATTTTTATTTATTTATTTATTTATTTTTTTGAGACGGAGTTTCGCTCTTGCTACCCAGGCTGGCATGCAATGGTGTGATCTCAGCTCACCGCAACCTCCACCTCCTGGGTTCAAGCAATTCTCCTGCCTCAGCCTCCTGAGTAGCTGGGACTACAGGCTGTGCCACCATGCCCAGCTAATTTTTGTATTTTTAGTAGAGAAGGGGTTTCACAATGTTGACAAGGATGCTCTCGATCTCTTGACCTAGTGATCTACCCACCTTGGCCTCCCAAAGTGCTGGGATTATAGGCGTGAGCCACCACTCCTTTTCTTAAAAAAAAGGACAGGTAAGAGAATCTTAGGTAACATCATAAAGAGAATACGAATAGTATTTTAGTCAAATTTCAGTTTATTGCTTTTCTCTCTCCCAACTACTGAAGTCATTCCAGATAGGAAATTAGCATATAGAGTGTTGAGACAAATTTTGACTAAAGAATCATTTTCTTCCACCCCAAACCTCTGACTTTTTTTTTTTTTTTTTTTTTTTTTTTTTTTTTTTTTTTTTTTTTTTTTTTTTTTTTTGAGACGGAGTTTCGCTCTTGTTACCCAGGCTGGAGTGCAATGGCGCGATCTCGGCTCACCGCAACCTCCGCCTCCTGGGTTCAGGCAATTCTCCTGCCTCAGCCTCCTGAGTAGCTGGGATTACAGGCACGCACCACCATGCCCAGCTAATTTTTTGTATTTTTAGTAGAGACGGGGTTTCACCGTGTTGACCAGGATGGTCTCGATCTCTTAACCTCGTGATCCACCCACCTTGGCCTCCCAAAGTGCTGGGATTACAGGCTTGAGCCACCGCGCCCGCCCAAACCTCTGACTTTTAATAAGATAAATGTAGGCTATTTCATTGTCATGAATCTTGATTCCAAGGAGGTAATAAACAGCAAATCTTTCTCTTCTAAATGAAGGATGTATGTATTTGCAAAGCTGGCAAAGGAGTGCTTACAGTTCTGCCAGTGGGCCTGACTAGAGCAAAACCAGGTGGTCCCCCTGCTCTTTCTAACCTCCCTTGGGGTCCAGGGCAAGGCTAACGCCCTCTCCTGGGCTTTTCTCCTTTGTTTGACTGGTATAATGTGATTTCTGCCATGCTTCATCCAGGAAAAGCATCCGATTGTTTTTACAATAGCAACATTTCAGTGGGTTATTACTGATGCATGGTGGCAGAAAAATTGACTTGAAGGAAAAAAAAACCACACACACACACAATCCAAACCAAGAGCCTGTTTAGCTCTGGCCATGGTTCTGGGTGAAATTTATTATTTATAAATTTATAATTTATTATTTATCTGGTTTAATGTTTGATTCCCAGAGGAGACAAATTCAAGATTCAAATCCAGTCAGAGTTTCTTGTGCCAGAATTAAAGCAGCAGCCTCAACCCAGTTGTTAATAACCATTGAATGTGCATGTGTAGTTTGAATTCTAATCAGGAAACTGATCATGAAGAACAATTTCATATTACTATGGAACTATTTTTTTTAACCTGAAAATACCTTGAAAAGCAATGAATTTATGTCAGACACAACCAGCAGGAGACACTGGCTTTGTCATAACTGCCCCTGCTTGGTAAGAAGATAGACTGAATCCTGCTTGCCTTACATGTTTGAAGATGCGTTTGCTGATATAAAACACACGCATATGTCGCAGAGTGAGTTTGCAGTTTCAGATCATTTTCTTGAATTCTGTGATTTGTGCTTTATGACGGCTGTGCAGTTTCTCCAGAAAGCATTTTAAAATGGCATCGCCTTTCTCTAGCTGCAGCCTGGGTCTAAGGTGGCTGCCCTTGCCACGTTGCACACGCCTGTTCCACTCGTGGTGTTTGCGTCAGCTGTGGGACAGCAGATACGAAATAGATAGTGCTCCCCCTGTCCAGGGTTGACAGGCTTCGCCTCTCATCACTGCTTCTTTGATCTCAGCTTATTATTCCCTCAGCTGGCTATGATTAGAAGTTCTACAACGGAGCTCCTTCATTTCTTTTCATTGTTTTAAAAACTCATTTAGAATTATGGCAAAACCCACTTCACTGGGCTCCTTAATGTGTTTGAGTCATCGATTTAAAAAAAAGATTTTTGTTTTTTGTTTTCACTTTTAATTGTGTAATTACTGCGTAATATGATAATTTAACCAAGTAGCCGGGCATGGTGGGTGCTTGGGAGGCTGCGCGGGGAGGATCCCCTGAGCCCAGGAGGTGGAGGCTGCCGTGAGCGGAGATCTCGCCACTGCACTCCAGCCGGGGCAACACAGCGAGACCCTGTCTCAAAAATAAACGCAAGAATACAAATGGCCGAGTAACCCCCCCGTGTCGTTCTGTTTTGTGTTTGCTTCCAGAACTCCAAGATGGGCGGCAAGCTCAGCAAGAAGAAGAAGGGCTACAACGTGAACGACGAGAAGGCCAAGGACAAAGACAAGAAGGCCGAGGGCGCGGCGGCGGAGGAGGAGGGGACCCCGAAGGAGAGCGAGCCCCAGGCGGAGCCCGCCGAGGCCAAGGAGGCCAAGGAGAAGCCCGCCGCGGACGCCGAGGGCAAGGCGGAGGAGAAGGAGGGCGAGAAGGCGGCGGCCGCCAAGGAGGAGGCCCCGAAGGCGGAGCCGGAGGAGAAGGAGGGCGCGGCCGAGGCCAAGGCCGAGCCCCCGAAGGCGCCCGAGCAGGAGCAGGCGGCCCCCGGCCCCGCTGCGGGCGGCGAGGCCCCCAAAGCTGCCGAGGCCGAGAGCGCGGCCCCTGCCGCCGGGGAGGAGCCCGGCAAGGAGGAAGGGGAACCCAAAAAGACTGAGGCGCCCGCAGCTCCTGCCGCCCAGGAGACCAAAAGTGACGGGGCCCCAGCTTCAGACTCAAAACCCGGCAGCTCGGAGGCTGCCGCCTCTTCCAAGGAGACCCCCGCAGCCACGGAAGCGCCTAGTTCCACGCCCAAGGCCCCGGCGCCCGCAGCCCCCGCGGAGGAGCCCAAGCCCGCGGAGGCCCCGGCAGCTAATTCCGATCAAACCGTAGCGGTGAAAGAGTGACAAGGACAGCCTATAGGAAAAATACCACTTAAAACAATCTACCCCCTCCCCCTCTCTCCCCCCCTTCTCTCCCCCTCCCTCCCCCTCCCTCCTCCTCTCCCTCCCCCTCCCTCCTCTCCCTCCCCTCCCCCTCCTCCCCCTCCCCCCTCCTCTCTCTCTCTCTCCTCTCCTCTCCTCTCTCCTATACTAACTTGTTTCAAATTGGAAGTAATGATATGTATTGCCCAAGGGAAAATAAAGGATGTCCCATCAAGGGAGGGAGGGGGTGGGAGAATCCAAATAGTATTTTTGTGGGGAAATATCTAATATACCTTCAGTCAACTTTACCAAGAAGTCCTGGATTTCCCAGATCCGCGTCTGAAAGTGCAGTACATCGTGTCCGCCTGAAACTGCCGCCACAATGCACTCCTCCGCCGAGAGTCGAATGAAAAGCTTTCCTTCTGCAATGGGAGTTGGGAGTGATGCGTTTGATTCTGCCCACGTGGCCCGTGCCGAGGCAATCAGATCTTTATGAGAGCAGTATTTTCTGTGTTTTCTTTTTAATTTACAGCCTTTCTTATTTTGATATTTTTTTAATGTTGTGGATGAATGCCAGCTTTCAGACAGAGCCCACTTAGCTTGTCCACATGGATCTCAATGCCGGTCCTCCATTCTTCCTCTCCAGATATTTTTGGGAGTGACAAACATTCTCTCATCCTACTTAGCCTACCTAGATTTCTCATGACGAGTTAATGCATGTCCGTGGTTGGGTGCACCTGTAGTTCTGTTTATTGGTCAGTGGAAATGAAAAAAAAAAAAAAAAAAAAAAAGTCTGCGTTCATTGCAGTTCCAGTTTCTCTTCCATTCTGTGTCACAGACACCAACACACCACTCATTGGAAAATGGAAAAAAAAAATAAAATAAAAAAAACAAAAAAATGTACAATGGATGCATTGAAATTATATGTAATTGTATAAATGGTGCAACAGTAATAAAGTTAAACAATTAAAAAGAAGTGATACAGACTCGGGTTTTTTGTTTATTTCTCCTGTCCCCCTGGATCACTGCTTTATTTGGGAACAGAGCACTATAATATTGGGCATTTTTCAGAATATATTTGGATAGAAGTAAAAAACAGGCCGGGCACAGTGGACCACGCCTGTCATCCCGGCACTTTTGGGAGGCCGAGGCGGGCAGATGGCTTGAGCCCAAGAGTTCAGGGCCAGCCTGAGTAACATAGTGGGACCCTCCCCCACCTCTATTTTTAGGAAAAAAATGTGAACATTACTTGTTAAAAAAAAAAAGTAGCTAGGCCAATGTAAACTGCCTCAGAAGAAGTTAAATTGAAAACATACTGTGTCTATGCATATGCACCCTGTAAAAAAGTGGGTGTAATTAAGAAGAACAAAGATTTTGAATAAAACACGTTAAAAGAAAATAAATAGATTTGATCTTGAAGGCTGGGAAAAAATGAAAGACAGGATCTCATGGAAACCTGTGTTTGTAAATTGTGGCACCACTAATGGTCATTCTGTTCTCTCCCATCCCCCAGTTTTTTAATTCTTATATTCACGGTAGAGCCAGGAAAGGCCACCTAAGAATTGTGCCATGAGACAGGAGTGATTTGGAAACCAGCATGGAACTGGCCTTGATGGTGACCGAGTTTCCGTCTTGATTTTGCCACTGGTGACTTGGATGGCATTTAAGTCACTTCTAACCTTTCCAGACCTTCCTCGCTTTACCTACAAAAGGGTGTAGCTTTCATCACCTCTGAGGCAAGGTCCCTTTGACTACTGAACCATTGAATGGCTTGGGGATATACCGGGTGGCAATGTGTAGGTATGCACCAACTGATGTGATGTCTCTCCCATCTCTTGATTTTCCAAAGCTCACAGAGTAATGAATCATACGTTAAAAGATTCTGGCATAGGAAATACCCTGTGGAACCTGTGAGGGCCAATGTAATGGAATTGATTCTCAAAGGGACATTAATGATACGATGGATTCAGATGAGCCTGGTTCCATTCTTATGGGTTACATTATACATGGTTAAATAAAAAAGGAAAAAAAAAGTTCGAGTATTTTGGGAGTAACCTGTTGTCTGTCTCTCACCTCACTGGGAAAGAAAAAGTGATGAAACTGAGTATTATGTAAATGTGCCCACTGGGTTCAATTGATACTCATGATCACTTTTTGAGTTCTTGCTTCTGTAGTGAGGTAAATTTGAATTCTTAATGCTTGAAAGCACAGCATACAAGAATCTGTAAACACAGTAACCACCACACAACTGTTTTACATAAGAAAAAAAGAAGGGGATGTCCGGGTTACTAACCATGTGTCCTCAAATACACAGAACAGCGTGGGGACCGAGTGATGGTGCTGGGGTGGTTACACATTCAGTGAACCATGGAGGACGTTTATACAGCTACTGATTAAATGCCATGCATTGTCTGCAGGAAAATGCTTGGTGGAAGCAACATTTTACATATTCTGTCCCCACTTGCCCTTCTTCTAATTAAGAAAAAATGCTAAGCTTTTTGGTGATTAGAATAATCAAATTAGCCTCCCAGATTCGCATTTATTACTATAAATTGCCATTTTTGAATAAATAAGACATTTTTCTGAGTTTAGTTAGTTGTTGAGTAGAATAGGAGAATTAAAATCTGAGCTATATATATTTATTTTTCTTTTCTCTAACTCTACTAGGTGTTGAAGCAATTGAAAAATGTTAGAAATGTAGTCACCAAAACGTTTAGATCAGAACTTTAACCTAGCCATGGTTCATGACATTTAATTTTACTGTACTGAAGAAAAAACCTTGGGATGTAGTTTGAAGTTGTGTATGCAGCAGAAAATGTAGTACACGTGGGAGTAATTGGCTCAGCCAGGAAGGGAACAATGTTGGGCACCATGTTAATTTTGGATTAACCTAGATTGTTCTCTCCTCATGAATGATTTAAAATGACGAGAAGGGACTGCACAGGCTGTGCTCAACAGCTAAGTCAGAACCATCGGGGAACGTACCGCCTATTGGCTTCACTAACTCAGGGATGTCCTTCACGAAGAATGAAGGGTTCCAGGGTCTAACATTCATTTACTGGGCATCTTTGTACAGCAAGGAGAAAACTAGGAGGAATCCAGAGGAAGCTGTACAGGGAGGCCAGCCTTGTCCCTCCAGTTTGAAGATCCTGTTCAGTCACTGGTGCTGCCTCTGAATGATGGGAATGGACTCCGGTCCCCAAGAGCTGGCGTGTGCCCGGCATCCCAGGGTGGCCCTTCCTGGCTTCAACCCTGAGAGAAGGCCATCTTCAGCCTGTTCCTAGCCGTATGGAGGCAAAGGCGACACTGGCAGTCCAGGAACAACATTCCCTGGTCTTTGAGAGTCTCCTTTCTCTCTAGAATCGAAGTGTAGGTCTATTGGACAGTAAGGACTTGGTTGTCAATTACTTGTGCTGACAAGACCTAGATGTACTTTAGCTGGGTAACTTTACCTAAGTTGGGTAAATTATTAGGTACCAGCATACCCAAGGGTACTTACTGCATTGCTAACAGGAAGTTTGTTTTCATAAAGCATCCTGGGAATTTAATTTTTGTTAAATGAAACATCCTGGAATAATGAAGCATAGCATCTTCATTGAAATACACACAGATTAGTGTCCATGATCAGAGCTAGCTGTGGGACACCGATCTTAAGTGGTTCTTTCATAGAAGGCATATACACATCAACACGGTTCAGTAAAACTTCTTTATAAAATTTTCTATCTTGATGTTTTCCAGTTTCTTGTCTCAAGATTGAAGGGATTACTCTTCACCCTTTTGATTTCTATTCTGCTATTTGAGAAGGTAACTGGAGTTATTCTGAGCTTCGTTTTAGCTAATCTGCAGAATAATGAAAACTGGATGCTCAGGAGATAATCTTAAAAATGTACCAAATGACAGGACCACTAGTAGTTGTGAGATTAATCAGGTGAGCTTTTACACTCATGCTGATAAAAGGAGGCATAATTTGCTTGATATCTAGCTGACACTGATCGTTTTACTAAGTAGTTAATATTTTAAATATTTAGCTCAGAGAGTGCTATTTGGTCACAGTGTCACTGTCTCAACACTATCTCCTAAGAGAAGAATTAAAAGGCCAATGTAGGGAGTTTTTCATGAAGCTATATGTCATTGATTTTTTATAAATGCGATGTCTTACCATGATCCTGTATGCTTTCCACTGCTTTTTTTTTTTTTTTTTTTTTTTTTTAACTGTTGTTTGTTTGCTTGTTATTAAACTTTTTTTTAGAGAGTCTCACTGTCACTCAGGCTAGAGTGAAGTGGTGCCATTAGAATTCACTGCAGCCTCCAACTCCTCAAAAGATCATTTTGCCTTAGCCTTCTGAGTAGCTAGGACTGCAAGCAAGCACTACCAGGCCCAGCTAAAATGATTTTTTGGTAGAGACTGGGGTCTCACTATGTTGTCCAGGCTGGTCTTCAACTCCTGGACTCAAGTGATCTTTCCCAAAGTGTTGTAATTACAGGCCTGAGCCACCATGCCCAGCCTCAACCTTTTTACGGACACAATTTATTAGTAGTGTATAAAATCTCAAAGTCCAGGGAATGACTGATTTGGTACATTTCTCCAACTTTACCTCCATCTTCATTTTATTAAAAGCATTATTCATTCTGAAGCTGTATGCTTCCATTCACATACATAGTTAAGGAAATTCCTAAGGGAAATAACTTTGAAAAAGAATCATGATCATAAAAAAAAAAAAAAAACCTCTGCAACTGCACACATTGAAATAAATAAACCAAGTAAAAATTTCCTATCTCCTTATCTCCTTCTATTTTGAAATTATTTATTTATTTATTTTTGAGACAGAGTTTCACTCTTGTTGCCCAGGTTGGAATGCAGTGGCACCATCCTGGCTCACTGCAACCTCTGCCTCCTGGGTTCAAGCGATTCTCCTGCCTCAGTCTCCTGAGTAGCTGGAATTTCAGGCATGTACCTCCATGTCCGGCTACTTTTGTATTTTTTTTTTTTTTTTTTTTTTTGAGACGGAGTTTCACTCTTGTTACCCAGGCTGGAGTGCAATGGTGCAATCTCAGCTCACCGCAACCTCC